GGTCTTTCTCTGCTTTACTTCCCTAGGGATCAGTGTTCTAACAGTGTTAAGTGTATGCAAGGCTGCAAGTTTTCTGGGGACATGTGTCTGCCTCAGTTGCTGGGTTTCTAATAAAGACTGTCAATTCAACCTCCCAAAATGTGGTTTCTCTGTATCTTGAGACTGAATTCCCATATAATATTTTCATTCCAGGGTTCTCTGTCTTTCCTTTGGAACATAGGATTCATGAAGGCAAATCATCTCTCTAAGTAAAATCCTGGTGCTGCATCAGAGGACTTATCTGGAAGAACAAAGACTTTCTGATCTCATTTCCCTATCCTCCAACCAGAACAACAAAAGGGCTCCTGGTGGATCTGTGTTTAGCATGTCTTTGGGGTTTCCTAATACTACTGAGAGCTTTACAAATGGCAAGCCAGGTGGAGACAGGCATATGGAATAGAAGTGTCCCCAGAATTCTGGAGAGGCACTCTTCAAATTGCACGTGGCATTAGTTTGTCCTAGGGAAGGAAGAAATGGGGCATGGTTATGTCTCACTATCTGCTCAGGAGTGTTGTGGCATTGTGTGGCCTATGCTGCTGAACATGTCCTCCATCATCTCCATCCATGATGACTGGATGTATTCTCTTAGGTCAATGTCTTGGTTCCCTAAGTACGCCAACACAACGTCCCCAAAGCTAGCTTAATAAGGCCTACTTCTTATGTCCCATGACTTTAACAGTCTAGAATCTCAGGGAAAGGAGGCATATTTCTTTCTTTTTCTTTTCTTTTAAAACAGGTTCTGAGGCTTGAACTCAGGGCTTAGGTGCTGTCCTTGAGCTCCTTTTGCTCAAGACAAACACTCTACCACTTGAGCCACATCACCACTTCCAGTTTCTGTGATTCATTTGAGATAAGAGTCTTACAGACTTTCCTGTCCAGGCTAGCTTCAAACTGCAATTCTCAGATCTCAGCCTCCTGAGTAGCTAGGATTACAGGCGTTAGTCACCAGTGCCCTGCAAAGAGGCATATTTCTACAAACAAACAAACAAACAAACCAACCCAAGACAAAAAACCCAAACCCTCTAGGTCGGACCAAGGATCAAATATTTCTGGCAGGGGGAGAGGGTAATTTTTGAGGAGTTACATGTCATTCACAGGCCAAGATTGCAAAATCGTACTTGATGCTGTGTTCTAGCATTCAGGAGCTATTAGGTGAATGTGAATCAGCCTTACACAGGCAATCTGAACACCTCAAACTCCTTCTGTGTCTCAGACTCTAGGAAGGAAAAGGTTTGAAACACTTATCTTGGTTTAGTTCTTCCATGCTAATTTCTAGAATTAAAATGGTCTATTTCCAGAAAGAGATACCCCTTTACAGAGTGGGGGTTGTTTGTAAAGAGTCTCACTAGGTTAGATTTACAGTTTAACCCAGGGATCCAGGTAGCCTTAGCTAATGGGGGACACATTCCTTAAGTACATCGGGACCAACATTGTAAAACACTGGAATAGAAATTGCATCTGTAGACAACTTGTGACAGTTTCCTTTGGCTCACAGCTTTGGAGGTTTCAGTCCATGATCTCTTGGCCCTAATTGCATTTGGGTCTGTGATGACCAAGGCAGTGTAACATGGCAGGAGTGGGTGGTGAAGGGAGCTTTGAACTCATGATGGCTAGGAAGCAATGAGAGACACAGGAAGGAAGCTGGGTTCTAAAATCTCCTTAAAAAAGCATTCTCACAATGACCTTACCTCCCTTCACTAGGCCCTACTTCCTAAAAGTTCTAAGAGTGTCATTGGCTGGAGACCAGGCCCCAAACAAATGGAAATTTGGAGGACACATCCATTCATGTATGGATTGCTTATGTGAATAAGGGAGGAGAGAAATTGAATGAAAGATCCTTGCACACACCCCCCCCCAAGAGGCTGGGGTAAGAATGAGATGCTTATCATTTATTAAACATACTGTGTGACAGGGTATCTGCTTGATATGTCACATACCTTTTCTCTCATAATACTTAATTTCACAAGGCAAGTTACTGTTATTGCTGCTTCACTGAAGGGGAAACCAAAAGTTAGAATATTGCCAGGGGGGTCCCAAAGATGCGAAGAAATCAGATTTGTGTGTCTACTCATTGTCTCCCCTTGTCCCTTGCTGGGCAATTAGAGAATGCAGAATATCCATTCCCTTGCATAGCACCATGTAGCATTCCTCTGAGGATCTCCAAGGCCATTTCTTCTCTCTTGCTGGAGGAGAGAAGAATCTTAAATATCCTCCAAGTCAACATTACTACTGGCCTGCTGTCTGATTATAAGCAGATGCATTTCTCATGGCTTCTAAGTGTGTTTGGAACAAAAGGCCCTGTACACCCAGCGGGCTTACAAAAACTGCCAAAAAATGATCAGTCCTTAACTAGAGTTGATAACAGCATTGGCCTGAGTGTACTTTGGAGCTGACTGAAATCACATGGAGGTCCTCTGCTCAGATGTTCTTGTTCTTCCAAACAAATCTCTTTCTAGGGAGTTGTTGGTTATTTCTATCTATGTTGGAAACCAAAAGAGATTATTCTGTATTCCTTGGCCAGATAGTGTCAGAGTTTTTATACTTCTCTCTCCAAGGATCTGTCTATCCCTTTCATGTCTACTGCACAAGTGCGTCTACCATGTCCTGTAGAAGTCAGCCATCACTCAAATGTTCAGATAGCACCACGTCATCTTTCCTTCCCTTCCCTTCCCTCCCCTCCCCTCCTCTTCCCTTCCCTTCCTTTGCTTTGTTTTGCTTTCCTTTCCTCTTGCTTGTTTGCTTGCTTGCTGGTCCTGGGGCTTGAATCCAGGGTCTAGGCACTTTCCCTAAGCTTTTTTTGCTCAAGGTAAAGTAGAGCACAGTTTCACTTCCAGCTTTTTTTTTTTTTGAGTAGTTTATTGGAGATAAGAGTCTCTCAGATTTTCCTGCCAGGGCTGGCTTTAGAACCATGATCTTCAGCTCTCAGACTCCTGAGTAGCTAGGATTATAGACATGAGCCACGGGCGTCCAGCTTCCGTGCCATCTTTTAAAGAACACCGAATCCAGCCATTCATACATGATAATCCCATTTCAGAGGAAGGCAGGCTCAATCCTTTAGTGAAACCAAATTGTCAACCTGTGGAGATAAATCTGTTTCCAATGACAGTAATTTCTAACAAAATTCTACTTTGATCTGGGTCACGAAGTATGAGTGCAACTTTTCCCAATGGTACTACATTTCTGCCTTTTACTAAACTTCACTGGTAAACATGAAGCATCAGATTATTGTTCCTCAAGCCTTGTCTTTTCCTCCTTTGGGTGACCAGTTTTAAAACCAATAATCTTGTAAAAACTAATTTAACTGGCTCACATCTCTGTCTCCATACACCCACTCACATGAATAGGATAAAAGAACAGGCAAGAGGAAGGAAAATGCAGAGGAGAATGAGAGATGTTTACTGAGACTGAAATGGTATGTTTTTCTTCTTTTCAATGAGTTAGCAGCAGTGTGTGAAGAGGCTGGTTACAGAAGTGTTCCAAGTTCACAAACAGCTCTGTCAACACTGGTGCCACTAATGCAACCCACCTGATCAGAGAATAAAACTACTCAGCACAAAAGAAATGGTCAATTCAACATCATTTAGGTTTAGTTTTATTTCCTAAAAACAATACCAATATTTGCATTAAAATTTTCACATTGAATCACTGGTCGCTATGATGTTTACATACCAATTCTGTATCATTTTCTCATAGATTTCCCATTTATTTACTTTTCTGCTATCTTTGGCACAATTTCTGGTTCTTAACTATAAAAGCATGGGTTGAAGCTGGCTATGCAGTACTCCAGAAATACAACTATTTGGGATCTATCTCAATGTAAGTACAAGTGTATGCTAAGCATTATTTACAAGATGAGAACTGAAGACTTTTAATAAACTATAAATTCATAAATTAGCAAGAGAATGAGAAGCAGAAGATTTTAATGAGCAGGGCTAAGATTACTGGTTAGAACAATCTTCTCTGGAGCAGGAGACAGTGCCCGGGGAAGGGATGGAATTTCTCCTGAACCATTGATATGAATACTTCATGATGTAGATTCAGTTTGCACAAATCCAGGCTCGGGACAGCTTTACTGCAAGATTGTGTGTGAATGCTATGGAGTGGAAATTATAATGCAGTTTAGCTGGTAACATGTCACTGTTATTCAAGGCCCTAACACATCCAAGAGTGCACAGGAAGCAAAGTTCTGGCCTCTGTAAGTGGGTATGAATGGCTTTGGAAGAAGGAAGCCTTCCAGTTGGAGCCAAGCACATCTGTCTTTTGAAGCAATACCTTTTGATATAAATTGTATGCAGAGTCAGTATAAGATTCCTTCCAGGCCATTGGAATCTGGAAGTTGTCAGTGAATACCTATGCTACCCTGGAGTACCACCATAAAGATCTCTGTTTTAGGGCCAAATCCATAGATGTGAAATGATGGTACAGCATAATGTCTCATTCCAGTGCTCCTGAGAAAGAACTGGTAAGCCCTGAAACAGACCTAAACTGGGATTATAGTTATTATTCAAGTACAAGGAAAGCTCCTCACTTCACATTGATAGTTCAACTCTGATCTCTGTCTCTTGAAAACTATATGAAAATAATAAATACATACATACATACATAGTTCTATACTGAACACTGGGTTAACAATGACCAGTGTCCCAATACAGTACATTGACAAAAGAACCCCTCTCTCTTCCCCCCTAAACCCTATGCGAGTCTTGAAATTATTATTGCAGAACTGTGCTGGTCTGGTCTTTTTTTTGCTGCTGTTTTGTGTTTTCAAAACAATTTCTTTGAAATTGGCTGGAGATGAGTTCAAAATGGTCATTTTGGCACATTGACAAGTGGGGTTGTTTAGACCCATTATAATTTATAAAAAATGAGAGGAAAGGAAATCCATGCCAATAGAAAGCTTGAGTAAAAAATTTGTAACAAATTATATATATATATATATATATATATATATATATATATATATATATATATCCCCAAACTGGTCTGTGTATGGGAAAGCAATTTCTCTTTGACATTAATTACTGATTTCAAGTTAGTACTTTATACACTTTCAAACTTGGTTTTATAGAATTTTCAAAACCCGGATAATACAACTTCTACATTATTTGATGATGTTTCATCTTACCACACTCCCTAATTCTGAAATCTAGCGAGCAGAGGCTATCAAGCCAAAGGTAGAAAATAATCTGGTCTTCTGTTTCTCAAGTTAAAAACACAATTGACCATCAGCGGTTTTCTGTTCCTGAATGTTGAGCTTGCTAAGAGATGACTCTCATGGACCTGTCCATCACTCCAGTCATCTGCAGCGGGGTGCTCTAGAACTGTGACGTCTGGGTGAACGAGATGGTGTCTGACTTGTCCACTGCAAAGCCTCCATTGACATATGACTTCTTGGTGTCTGAGTCTTCACTGTCCAGTACTGTGGATTCCAAGGCAAAAGGGTTCACAATGTTGACTTCAGAGGAAACATCCATCTGTTCCAGCTCCTTCTTAGAGAGCTTTTCCACAATGCCAGTCCCAAATGCATCACCAAGGACATTGACCATGGTCCTGAACCGGTCCCTAGAGAAGAGACAGAGGCATGAGAGGGGGGCTCAATTCTTCCTCAGCTTGCCAATACAACTTGCCATTTATTGAGCATGTACTGGCTGACAGACTTGGTTCTAGATTCTGGACTCACACGACCCCACATAAGTCCTTACAACAAGCCAAGGAGGTAGGCAGAATTTCCCCCATCTGTCTGGTGGATAATGCAACTGGGCCTCAGGTTAAGGGCCTCCAAGTCGTAAAGCTAATTAGATGCTGGATGGGGAGCCAAACCTAAGTCAGGCTTATCCTAAAAACCTTTGTGCATGCTATGGTCTAGACAACCCTACTAATGCTTGGAAATAGGTGCTGATTTTGAACAAGGTGGTTCTGAGTCTGTGAGGGTAAACCAAGTCAAGGACAGCTTTTAAGATAGCTCTGGGGCCTTCCCAACGCTTTCATCATATTATCCCATTTACTGTATTTAGTGTAGCTGGCACCCTGCTGTAGCCTTGCAGTTCAACCAGTATAATGAGCTAATGGAGCTTTGCTGGCTTTTAAACATCTCTGCTTTAGTGATGAGGAGTTAATGTTTGAGCACAGTTATCAGATGGCCTGGTCAGAGGGCAATCAAAGCAGCAACAGATGGCTCACTGGGCCTTCTGAAGGGAGGGTGATTAGGAAGGGAGCCTGTCCATCTGGCTGAGGCCAAGGGCATTTGGTCCAACTCACAGGAGCCAGTCGACAGCGATGATTAGGGTAACATCCTCTGCAGGCAGACCCACCGCACTCAGCACGATCACCATGGTCACCAGGCCCGCCTGAGGCACACCGGCAGCTCCAATGCTAGCAGCTGTGGCTGTGATGCTGTAGCCAAAACACACCAGCAGAAAGCGTGAGACCCTCCTGTTTCTCCCCTCAAGGCTCTGGACCTGAAACCATCTCCATGGTGATTATTATCTGGGGAAATCAAGCACTAAGAATTTGTTATCTACTAAGGACTTGCTCGAGGCATATAGGATGAGAGTTGGGAGAGAGGAGGCTAGGAAGAATGTGATTCCATGGCCTGACAGGGGGAAAGGGGAAACAGCATTCTGGGGCAAGAAAAGAAAGACAAAAGAATGTCGCGAGTGACACCTAAAATGAGCCAGAGAGTCATTTAAAAGGAGCACAAGAGCTTGCCAAGTGGACTGTAAATGGAATGCTTTACCCATCCCATGCATCCATCCTAAATACATGCCAGGTACCTCTCTACCTGCTTGCTTCCTCTTTCCTTCCATCTACTCTCCTGTCCAGTCATTTACTGAGCACCTAATAAGAGCCAGGAATTTCAGTGGCCTTGCAGATTAGGGGTAAAGGTCAGTTGACTGGGTAAGGGTATTTCAGGTGAAGGCCAAAGACAAAGGCAATGGTTAAACAGGTTTAGAGGACTTTCTGGTTATCACAAGACTCTTGACCTGTCTGAAGGACACCGAATTAAGAAAATATGTGACTCCTGTCCAAGGTATAAAAATTCCTATTGCTTTCTCCCAGTGGATGCCCTTTGTGAAAAATGAAGACAGACCTAGAATCTGGAAGAGGCAGTCAAATTAACTTTATTATCATGCATGTTAAAAGATTTCTCTTGGATAGATAATATGTAGCACTAGGAATTGGTCAGTTTGCAATGGAGACACAAAGAGAGAGAGAGAGAAGGAAAGAGTGCTCATATAGGAATTTGAACTCAAAGCTTTCTTACTCTCATTTGGCTTTTCCATTCCTGGTTGGGACCTTACCATTTAAACCATGCCTCTAGTTCTGGCTTTTTGCTGATGGATTTGAAATAAGAGTCTCTCAGATTTGTCTGCTAGGGCTGGCTCCAAACAGTGATCCTTAGATCTCAGCCAGCATTACAGAAGTGAGCCACTTATGCCTGGAAGAATGTACAGGTCTTGGGCAGCAACGTATTTCTTATTTTAATCAAGACTCATCATACTCTAAAAATCCCTTTGAATGATCTTGAGTGGCATTCATGATATGCTCTGAAAAAACAGACTCATCCCTAGGGCAGGATTTACACTGCTGCAAAAATTCACTGGATCAACAGGTGACTATGAAGCAACTGACAGTTTAAACTAGAACACCTACTCAGAATCCATAGTCTTCAAAAGTGTCAGCATTCTTAGGATGTTTAAGTGGACTGGCCATGCATCTGCCAGGTGATATGCTGCAGAGACCATTTAAAGGATCTAGGCAAATGCAGGCTGAAGGTCTTTGATCAATATGTGTTGCTTCAATCAATTTACAGTAAATTAGAGAGTTCTGAGGCTGTACTAATACCTCTTAAAAATTCCAGGCTTTCTCAATCCTTTTGATCTATTCTTACCTATGTTTTCTTTGGAAAATTCAATGATATTCCAATGCAGGTTGAAAAAAAGTGGAACTGAATGCATCAATGGATGTTCTTAGTCAGATGTGATTTGTGAGCAAGCCTATTGATCCCTCCTGAAATATTTCATGATTAATCACACTCTTGACCTTGCTTGCAGAACTTGTCTGTCTTCTTTCCTTCCTTCCTTCCTCCCTTCCTTCCTTCTTCCCTCCCTTCCTTCCTTCCTTCCTCTCTCTTTCTCTCTCTTTCTTCTTTCTTTCTTCCTTTCTTCCTTCCTTCCTTCTTTTCTTCCTTTCTTCCTTCCTTCCTTCCTTCCTTCCTTTCTTTCTTTCTTTCTCTCTCTCTCTCTCTCTTTCTTTCTTTCTTTCTTTCTTTCTTTCTCTTATGGTAGTACTAGGTTTGAAATCAAGGTCTAGCCCCTTGTTACACAGATGCTCTACTACTGATCCATATCACTAGTCCTTTTCAGAGTGGTTATTTTTGAAATAGGATTCTACTTCCTGTCCAGATGCATGCCTAAACCATGATCTGCCTGTTGCAGGCTTCCTGTTGTAGGTTGGATAATGGGAATATGCAACCACACCCAGCTATGGGTTGAGAAGGAGTCTTGTGAACTTTCCTGCCTGGGCTGGCATCAAACCATTCTCAACCTCCCAAATAGCTAGGATCCGAGATGTGAGCTACCCAATGCCTGGCCTAGAGTTTTGCTTTTAACCTGGCTCAAGCATATCCTATTTTGGCTGAGAAAAGTTTCACTGCCTCAGTCACAAAGTTCTCTCCTCACACTGAGGCTTAGTTTGGGGACAGGCCATTTAGCTTAGCTCAACACAGCTGGAGGCTGGGCAAATGAACTAGAGTGAGCCCAGATCTCACAGTCAGACACATCTGAGTTCTACTCCTGTCTCTTCCATTTTCCTGCTGCATTTTCTTAGGCAAACGACGTCTCTGAATCTCAACTTCTTGTCTGCTTTATAGGGATAATATGATGTCTTTAGGGCTGCTGAAAAGATTAATCCATCTGAGGCATTCAAGGAAGGTAAAATCATGTGATTTCTGCTGCTACTTCTGTCTTCTCCCTATGCTACTTGGCTAGATAAACAGTCAAAACACCCAGTACTGACTGAGCATCTTTAATCTGAAAGTCCAACATCTCAAATTCTCCAAAATGCCAAATGGATATGACAACAGGTGGGAAATTTCACATCTGCCCTCATGTCACAGGGCACAGTGAACACACAGGCACACTAAAAACACTGCATACAATTACCTCAAAGGTGTATACAAGATAGAAATGAGGCTCAAGCTTAGACTGTGGTTCCACCTCCAAAGTATCATACTATGTATATATATGCAATTTTTCCAAAATTAAAAAAAAATCCCCCCATTACCTAAACTGTCAAGCATTTTGAGCCATTTCCAGGCCTCAGATATTGTAACAATTTTTTTTTTTGTCTGTCGTGGTGCCTGAGCTCTGGGCCTGGGAGCTATCTTTAAGCTCTTCAGCTCAAGGCTAGTGCTCTACCACTTGAGCCGGCCTTTTCTGCTTATGTGGTAGTGAGGAATCCAACCCAGGGTCTCATGCATGCAAGGCAAGCATTCTACCACTGAACCACCTTCCCAGCCCCTGTAACAATCTTTTGATAGAAGGCTATCCCATTTTCAGTCAGTTAAAACTTGGGATAAATGAATGCTACCGTAAACCCACAAAATCCTTGTTTCTGTGATGTGCAGACCACAGCGGGCAAACGTGCTATTGTATATCTAAAGAGTTCTTTAACCATTAGCCTCATGAACTGTGAAAATATACCTGTAAAGTTAAAACTAACTTTTATTACTTCTCAGAACAGATTTTTGAAGTCAATGATTACTCTGGGTCTCACGGTGGTTACTAGTTCTGGGCCAGTCACCATCAGTGAATGTGACTCATGAATATGCCAGAGTAGGGGGCAGAAGTTCAGATGTGAATTGACTAGTCAGCCGTTAGGCCCAAGGTTGATTTCTCTGGCAGTCAGCATAAGAAAAGGGGGAAAAGAAAGAAAACGGATGAGGAAGATTTAGGCAATGTATGATTAAGAACAAGGAAGAGAATTTATCAAAAAGACACCAACACATCAAAGAACCAGCATCTCAGAAATCACTCTTTGCAAATCACTTCAGTGCAGATTTTCCAGGTTAGGCTGAGGGACGTAGGACGAACCCCTTGGAAATGTATACATTAGAACTGCTGCAACCACCTGGGTATCTGTGGAACAGAAAACTCCAAGAGCACAAGTCACAGTTTTAACACTGTCTCCACGATCATCACCTCTGAACTGTGGTCAAGCTTGGCTTCGTTAGCCACTACCACCTTTAATTGATTAAGCAGCATCTGTACAGCCCCTCTCCTAGCAGATGTTCCATATTTCAGACTAATCTTTTCAGTTTCTCACTAGTCTGGTCAATTTTAAACAAACAGCAATAGTTTATGATTTAGGGCTGTGGAGGATTTTTTTTAAAGTGTTTTATGTTAGAATATTGTGAACCTACTCTTCAGGTGTATGATTTTGTCTCTGCAGGGATACAACTTGAATACATAGAGCTAGAGAATCAGTTTCCTTCTACACTCAACTAAATTCCTCAGATTAACTCTTAACCTGGCCTGCCACTCAACTGTAGCACTGTGAAATCGAACTTTCTGTGATGGAATTGCTCTATATCTGTGCTGTCTAATTCAGCCAGCCTCTGGCTGACTACCACAAGCCTATGGCTAGTGGCTACCATATTGGATGGATGGTACCATCTTAGAGCAACAACTCTAGCAAAATCCACTAATGGTATTTCAACCATATCCTTAAACAAGCTGTTGAAATCCTCATTTGAGTTGAATTCTCTTTAGGATCTGATTCTGTGAACCATTTCCATCCCTGAAAAATCTTTCTTCTCTTGGTCTCCATATTTTCATGGTTCTTGTTTCCTCCCATCTCTTCCTTCTTCTTACTCGGTCTACCTTTAATACTAGGATTTTCCCAATCCTAAACTTGAGTCTCCTTTTCTTCTCTACAAACTCACCATTCCTAAAGAATCATCCATTCCTAAAGAGTTCGCTGAGTAGGTACTAAAGCTTTTATATGCATCATCTGACTTAGTCACCACCACTTGACTACAATGTAGGCATTATGATTATTATCCTCATTTGAAGGGTGAAAAAACAGAAGTTTAATAATTCAAGTGTCCTGCCTAAGCCAATCACAGTATCCCTGACATCCAGATGCAGACAGTTGACACATATTAGATGGCTATCTACAGTCCAGATCTCCATTTCTCACTACACATCTCTCTACCTGTAGCCTCAAAGGTATTTCAAATTCAATGACTCAAAAAATATAAAGTCTTTCTTTTTTCTATTACTAAAGTTTGAACTCAGAGCCTCAAAGTTGCTCGGCTTACTTCTTGTGTTCTACCACTTGAACCATGTTGATAGCCTGGATTTTGCTGGTTAATTGGAGATGGAATCCCGTGGGTTTTTCTGCCCAGGCTCTCTTTAAACTGTGGTGTTTTGAGTGTCAGCTTTGTAAGTAGCTAGGATTATATACATGAGCCTCCAGGGTGGCTAAGGAGTATAAAATTTTATTTCTTTATCTTATTGCTTTTCCTTTTTACTTAAAATTTTTATTGTTTTTTATAAAGGTGATATACAGAGGGGTTACCATTTCATAAGTCAGCTAATGAGTACATTTCTTTTTAGATAATGTCACCCCTTCCTCTCCTTAATGCTTTTCTTATGCGAATTCCTGTTTTTATAACTACCAATCTAGAACCATTCACCAATTGTGGGCGCATCCTTGCTTTCCCTTGCTCCTCACATTGAATTGAGCTATTGTCTCTTTAATTCATTCATTCATTAGTAAGTCTCCAGTGTCTGTGCCTTGATGTAGGCCTTTTAACACCTTCTCTGGACTTCTCCATTAGTCCCTAATTGGCCTGCCTTGTGTTCCTTTGCCCATCTAACCTGTTACTTCTCTAACAGTGCGAATCTGTCCATGATCCATACGGAGTCTTTCATGATATGACCTCTGTCTTATCCGTTCATGTCCTCTACATTTTACTCGCTGAGCCAGATACAACAAACAATGGCTGACTCTGTAACTAGGACATGGCTACATCACAAGCCCTGTATGAGCTATTTCTGCTTTCCAAAGCGCTTAGCGTCCTTATTAGCCTGCTAAGTTCTTACTCCTCACTGATGACACATCTATATCCCTGTCTTCCATGAAGCTTTCCTTCCTCTTCCCAGAGAGCTGATCTTTCCCTCTTTGGGACCCCCCTGTGATCACTAAACAAAGTTCTGTGACATGCTATATCTTATATTCCTCAGCATGCTTTTGGAGATCTATTCTCTTTCCACAAAGAATTCTTTTTTGGTGCTTATTTTGGAGCTTGAACTCAGGACCTGGACAGTCGCCCTTAGCTTTTTCACTCAAGGCTGACACTCTACCGCATGAGCCATATCTCCACTGCTGGTTTTTTGGTGGTTAATTGGAGATGAGAGCCTCATGGATTTTTCTGTCTGGGCTGTCTTTGAACTGGGATCCTCAAATCTCAGCCTCCTGAGTAAGTACAGGCATGAGCTACCTATGTCTGGCCACAAGGGACCCTTTGATAGCAGTGACTGTCCCTCGTTCAGCTTTGAGTTTTTAGTGCCTACTTCGTGCGTAGTACCTACTGGACGCACTGAACTGAGCATAGAGCAATGATTAGAACTGCTCAGACTCTGAATCAGGAATGCTGTGTTCCATGAACCCTCTAGTTGTCCTCAATCTTGTGAAGGGACTTTGTAAGCCAAGCCAAACAATCCACAGGGCCTCCTTTCACAGATTGCTTTTACTTAGTAACCACGAGGCAAATGAGTGTGACACTACGCCCCACCTGATAGTGATGATCTGCCCAATGCTCAAGTCCAAGTCATTCAACTGAGCAATGAACACAGCTGCCACTGCTTCGTAGAGCGCAGTCCCATCCATGTTGATTGTGGCACCAACAGGTAGCACGAATCTAGTAATCCTCTTGTCCACCTGATTCTTTTCCTCGGCACATCGGAAAGTGACTGGCAGTGTGGCTGAACTATATGATTAAAAAAAAAAGAACGATGGTTGAAGAATTCCAGTTCTCAATCCCTACCTGAAAAGGCCCCCCCCCCTCTCTCTCTCTCGGTTGAGGGGCCTGAACTCTGGGCCTGGGCACTGTCCCTCAGCTCTTCAGCTCAAGGCTAGTGCCCTACCATTTGAACCATAGCGCCACTTCTGACTTTTTCTGCTTATGTGGTGCTGAGGAATCAAACCCAGGGTTTCATGCATGCAAGGCAAGTGCTCTACCACTGAGCCACCTTCCCAGCCTGATACATCTTTTACACACACACACACACACA